ACAGCAACATAGCAAAAATTGAGATTGCCAATCAAATGAACCATACCACATTTAAAAGAAGAATAAATAATATAATAATGAAATAGAGCCATTATTAATGCATTATCAAATACAGGGCTCAGTAAGGAAACATTCATTTTTCTGTGACTATGTTCATTTGTGAAAGAGTAATGCTATTTAATTCTCTGAAGAAATGTACAGTATTACATTACTTGTAGTTGTGCAACTTTAAGTTCATTTTTATTAGTTTGTCTGATTTGTTTTATTTTACCATTTGGATATGGAGTATAGGTAGACCTTGTTTAGTGACTGCCTCATTTAGCAACCATTCATAGTTACGACAGTGATAAAAAAGTAACTTTATCACCAATCCACGCAACTTGGAAAAACAGTTTCATGAGAGAATTTATCCTTCAGTGAACTAATCTGCTTTTTTAAGTTTGGATTCTGAGCATGCTTGTATGGAAGTATGTTCAACTGAACTCAAGTTCAACATTACTGCCAAGTAAATGCATTTAAGATTGGGATAAGGTTTTGCAAATCTCACTGGAGAAAGTTTGTATTTCTCACTTGAAAAGTTACCAGGCAGGGATATCTTTCTTAATGGTACAGAAAGAAAAGAGCTCAGAGGAAAATTGTTGTTCAACGTGACATTTAAAAACGAAGGGTTAATGCAATAAAAGCACCACCCAAGAGAGAATAGGTACACAGTAGAAGACAACTTCAGTCTCCAGCAAAATTAATGCTAGTTTAGTACCCTTCTATAGATTCATGAAGTTCCCCTTGGTTGAAATTATTTTGATGCCACTAGAAATCTTAATTTATAATCTACTGTAAATTTCATGGGTACAGCGAACTATCAGAAGAAATACCAGTGGGACTCAAATCATTGGTAGGTTTCCTGTAATAAAGGAACCATTATTTTCTGTTAGCCTATGCCTCTTTCTGTTTGAGACTTTAAGAAAAATACCCTCAGGGAGGCCTCTAATAACCTATAGCAGTCCAAAATTACCACTGCAAATGCCAGTGGAATCCTGAAAAACTTTGGAGGTTGATCATACCTACTAGATATTAAAAATTAGGAAAAAGCATCCCAGAACTCAACCATAGCAGGCTTCAAATGAGAGATCTAGAAGAGTACAGAATGGAAAAAAATACATTGGCAAGTTTACCATGACTTCACTGAAATGTTTGCTTGAAACAACGAGCCTACTCAAGTGTTCCCCAAAAGAGAGCAGCAACATGCCTCAGCTCTCTCCTGCTCATTTCACTCTGGGGAGAAGTGAATGACCATACAGTGATCTTGATGAAATATGAAGGTCGAGTTTCCAAAGAACCTGGCACAATATAACCTTTTTGTAGCATTTAGAGTAGGAATAGTGGCTATAGCCATTCATTCCCAAACTGGAGCAGATGGGAGATGCCAATAGGGCTGATGAAAACTGGAGCCCAACAATATCTGAAGGACTACAGATTCTTTGATCTTAGCCTTGAGATACTTTCATTCATGATCAGAAGATATTTCATAGTCAAATAATGGCTTGAATACTCTAGCTGACATTGAGAAAGTAAAAGGGAATAGCATGTGAAACCAAGAATCCTACTCTTCATTTCTTCCCAGGGACAACCCTGGGTGAAAATATCCCAAAGTCTCAATATGCCTAATGAGGCAAAGCAAGTAAAGAAGCAATGTTTAAATTATATGGCTACTTATGATGTGCAGAACATTTCTTCAAGATGAACATGAAAACGAATTTGATGAACTTTTAAGAAAACAAAGCAAGACCGTTTTGTGAGAAATTTGAACTTCTTGTGATCAATCGTAATTTCCTGCTCTTAATACTTAGGGCTCATCCACATGTCCTGGATGCTACGGTGCAAAGATGCCCCACTAACCATTTGCTGAGGACATGTTCTTACAATAAATCCTCCATCTTGTTATCAGCCCACTACTGAGGCTGGCTGAAGCTAATCTAAGGTGCTTGAAGGAATTGTCTTCCCTGCTATCTCAGCCTTAGACCTCCCAGGTAGACAAGGTCGAAAACTCACATGACTAGATAAATGGGGACTCTCACTCCGGTGGGAGGAAAAATGCTGGCGGCGCTTGCATGGGAGTCGGAGCAGTTGCCAGTAAGCACGAAACCGCGCTCACCCGAAAAAAAGGGCCCGAAGCAATGGAAACCCCGCCTCCTGCACTCGCCAGCTGGGCTCTGCTCTAGGAAGGACGCCCTGGCAAACCACTTCCGAAACAATTGCCTTGAAAACTGCAAGGACTCGTCCAAGCAGTCACTGCAGGGTCAGTAATGACAGCGCAGCAAAAAAAAAAAAAAAAAAAGAGACCAATTGGGTTATTGAAGGACCCCTTTCTCCCATCTGGATGGAGGACTGACCACCTCTATGGCCACTTTTGTTGTGGCTGCCAAAGAGACCAGATACCTCACTGTCATGGCACATTTTTTTTCTTTTTTGGAGTGGGCTTGGAGATGGGATTATTGATTTCATGTTAAATTGAATGCAGGTCTTTGAGGAAATAAATATTCCTATTGCAAAGCAGAAATAAAGTTGCTTAGGAACTACCCTCAGGTTTTGAAAACACGTACGCCTATGATTTACTGTGCTGGCTTTTTGATGGCAAAAATTGTAGGTGTGGATTTTGGAGGGTTTCTTTTGAACCAAAGATTCATTACGGAGGGATTGTTATTTTGTTGTACATGAGGGCACTAACCTATTTGCACTAGCATTTTTATTTGTGGAACTGAGGTTTTGTGAAAGATAGTTGAATCTTACAGACACCCTTCTCCTGCAAGTGCAATCTAATTTGGGGTGCAAATCTGCATTTTTTTCCCATGAGTTGTCACAGTCCTGGTTTTGGCAGGTTAACCTGTGCAAAGGTTAGAGGACAAACCTGGTGGAAGAAGCCAAAGGCAACTTCTCTGTTCCTGTGTTATTACCGGTTTGATTAGGATAAATACTTAAGCATGTACGCACCCAACATCAAAACTATTGAGGCTTGTTTTGCCGTCTCAAAAGTGGTAATGCAGGGTGTGGAGGAATGAGGTGACATGAGCAGTGCGAACAAATGAGGGTGCGAGCTGGAATGGAGGATAAGAAGTAGAGAGGGCAAGAGGGCCCCACTTTAAACTTACTGGCCATGAGGGTGACTTTTACCTGGAGAAAAACGTAATTATTTCCCTTTCTTTGTCCTCCTCAATATTCACAGAACGAGCATTATAGAGCTGTTTTTTTCCAGCCTTGGAAGAGAAGAACCAACCAGTACCCTAAAAGTAACCCATGCTATTTTCTCAGAGGGCAGCAATACTAATGGCTTAATTACCAATGATAACCAAGATATGTCATAGGGGCTGTCCTTTTTGTATTGTCAAGTATGGGAAGAAAGCACATTATCACTGCTGTGTGGATGAGCCCTTAGTAATCAATCATTTAGGCAAAAGGACTTAGAAAGTGATTCCGATAATGCTAATATGAGGCTAACATTTCCATTGGGTCTTTTTGCTTGTTATTTGAAGGAGACACTGAAAGATGATATACTTCTTATGGTACTTGCCTACCATCAAAAATGTTAGCTTTTCTACTTTGATTTCTGTTCTCTGGGAGGCAAATATAACAATCTCTAAAGAGACTTTGAGAACTGGGGACTTCTACTCTTGAGAAAAAGTGACACTTTTCTGTTTTCTTTTTGGGCAATTTCAGAGCATAAGACAATTATTACAGGTACATATTTTATATAAACCACAAAATAATATTTTACATATCACAGTTCTGACAAGCAGACCACATACATATGTAGGCACTGTTACTGAAAGGCAAATAAGTAAAACCAGTGACTATAATTTAATCATGGCAGCTCTGGACCCATTTTCATGGCGTACTCATTTTAGCTTGACTGTAGGGAGATGGGACAGAAGCACAGTACTGGAAGCTAGATGATTTAAATAAGGCCCAAACAAAACAATAACAAAAGCCTAAATCATCACTCCCAGTTTCCTAGGCAACTATTCAACTCAATTTTTAGTGATATCAGCCAGTAGTGAAATCAGTGTGGTGGTTTCAGTGTTGCAAAATATATGTCACAACTGAATTCTGATCCACATTCGCATGCATACGAGCCTCACTGAAGCCAACTACATAATCCCATGGAATGCTAAGCGCTGAGAGTGTGCGAAATGCATTCCTTTCAGTGACCCTTATAGAAGAGTCCATCATAAACTTGAGCAAAGTCATGAAGGTTGCAGTCAACATGGTGCTTGTTGGGTTGATCCCATTGTATATTACCCACAAGACCCAACAGTTTTATTGGGGCTTATATGGGAACAGGTCTTACTAAACAGCTTCCCAATTTAAAACAAAGCTTCTCTTTGGGGAAGAAAAGTTCAAATATTATGCTCTCAAAATAACATGATCAAATGTCCTTCCCTTACCCCAGTAAAAAATAAAACCTGTTTCTTAAAAAACCTACAACATTAAAATGCACTTTAAGGCTCACATATATGTGAAACTTAGGAATCCTGTAAAACCTTGGAGGTTGATCATACCTGCTAGATATATAAAGTAAAATTCTTCATATACGTTTATAAGTTTAATAAATATATGCAATACATAAATATGCATATTACACATATCCAACTATGCATATTCATATATTATATATTTATATTGATATATAGATAGATCTCTTTCAAATAGGACAGCATTTTGTTCACTTTCCATTTTTGTCTCACCCTCTAAAAATAATCCTAAAAGAGTGCATTTGGTGAGAATTTATCGTTTCATTATTCATCTCCCTTGACGAGTTAGAAAAATCAGAGCAAACCAACTGCAAGGCAATGGAGGCAGTCACTTCCAGTTCACAGTACTGCAGTTAGAAAAATACAGTGAGGTCTAAGGGAGTGATGGAGCAGGAGCTGCTCGGAAGAAGAAGAAGAAAAGAAGAGATGGTCACATGACAATACAGCATTGACAGCGCTTTTTCTTTTCTGTACCTGGGACTTTTTCCATTGGTAGGCTTTCTTCTTTCCCCTCTGGTGAAGAGGGCTCTGTTGTGTCTGACAACGGCCTCCCAGAAACTAACTCAGCAGCATTTCCATCCATGGTCGACAAATCAGTCACTGTCTTCTCACGTAATGACTTTTCATCATCTTCATCAATAAGGACCAGTTCAGCCTTGATTGTCTCATCATAGCCCAATACCTTTTTGGTCTCATCTTCATCATCAATATTTTGGTAACCCATAAATATCATTGTTACTGGGTGATCTGCACTAGCTTCTGGGATTTCATCCCCAGAGAGTTTTGCTTGCTGTTGAGGGTTCCCAGAAAGCCTTTTGCTGGGCTTGTGCACCATCTCTAGTTTTGCTTCCTTAAAAAGAATTTGTTCCTTCATGTGGCTGAGGTTTCCATCCACTATTGATACAGCCCCTCCTTTTATGCTTGATTGCCCCGCCTTCTGAATAAGTTCATCTACGTCCTTTGAGCTTAACTTATGTACTCCATTTTCTACCACCGTGCCTCCAGAATGCATCTCATAGACTACTTTGGTACCATCGTCATAGACTTTGATTCCTCTCTGATGGGCAGCCTCGGGGCCAATGGGGGACGTAGAGAGAATCTTGGTCTCTCCTGTTTGTTTGTCTTTCTCCACATTAATTTCCATGCTGTACAAAGCTTGAATGGAAACAAGAGAGGAAGTGTTTGTTACAACAGCAAGAAGCATGTGAATGGTTAATTGCCAAACAGACAAGCAGACAACTGTATACCCAAAGAAGCTGTGCTCTAAAATGCCAAGCAGCCTATGTTAGAGATGCAAACCGTGAAGACAAGCAGTTGTTATCTTACAATGGTTGATGCAACTAGTAGTAGCCATACCTTTTTTACAGTGAATGGATAACTTCCTAATATTATCTGTATAGAGGACATCCTATCAAATTAGGGAGGTGACAAACAAGCAGTTCTACCATCATGTCTACATTATTGAATTAGTTCACATAGTAAATATGGTCATAATCCAAATTCTGATTCTCCACACCAGGGGAATAGGATATATAGCACTAAAAGTTACATGGGGATATTCAACAACCTAGAGAGCTCCTCTATGAGGGCCAAATGTTTCCTTGAGAATTGAATCACTGCCATGAAGCTCTACTTCGTGGAGAGTTTCTGCACAGCTTGAAAGCTGCATGTTATATCTACAGCATATAGCATCACCATGAGAAAGTGACAGGGAATATAAATACACTGATGTACACTCCATTGTTAAGGCTGAGTATATGCACTGATTCTGCAAGTCTACAGAAATGTCACAGAATGTGGTATGCAGACAAAGAAGGCAGCTTTCCAAGAAACAGAGCTTTAATTAACAAAACAATTGTTTAGTCTTCATGGTAGCAAAGATACGCTTGAAATTGTGGAGTTATTGTGCCAAGCACAACCTCAGAAGCAAGAAGAGAAGCTCAGTGAGATTTCCAGTGGTGAGAGCTTCAGTGCTGTATATAGGTTCTTATCCCATCACCAGCAGAAACAGAAAAAGATGCAAATACAGAAAATAATGCAAACTTTCCTGAATTGTTTAGCTTTGTGCAAGTTACAAAATTCAGCAAAGAGAACCTATATCCACTCCCTGAGGCTTCTATTGTTCCTCTTAGAAACAATTCCACATGAAATTCAGTCACTTTTCCTGCTCCATACCTCCACAAAAGGGAGGGGACTTGTTTTACCATCTCCTAAATTTAAAAAGAAGCATCTTGGGTTCCATGTTTACTCCAATTCACCTAGCTTTAAAAACAACATGAAGGCTTAAAAGGAAACAGAAAAAGCAGAAATGAAAAACCCAGGAATAGTAAAGTTTTCATTAAGCCTTTTAGCACCATTAATCAATATATAGACCATAATCTGCCACTTTCTCATCTGAGTGCAGCCTGCTTCATAGATGCACATACCATTTAATTTCTCACTGAATGACTATACATAGCTCTACAATACAGTATATGTAATCATAATACATGTGGTAACTAGATAAAGAATGCCTACATGGACTCTTAGAAAGTACTATATTCTGAGATCATTCTCTGTGATCATGTATTTGTGATGGCTCATTCTCATGTGCAATTACTTATTACCATATCCATCAAATGATGGCAATGCATAGACTAACTGATCCCAAAATATACAGAAACTTTACTAGGAAGGATGTGACAGGGAACAGCTTGAAACTAATACCACAATCAATCTTATCTATATGTTTCTCGTGACCAAATCAATTTTGCAATTTTTCAGGATCTAGCCAATGAATTTTGACATTTCATGCAAGCTTTTAGCCAATACAACATTTTCCATCTAATACAGGGATACCAACTGACTGCTGGTAATCCATCAAACTATTGTCTTTTAAAAGCTACTAATTGGTCTCAAATTTTCAACTCAACTCTTTAATCTGAAATACTTATATTAATGGTCAAGGAAGACTCCATGTGATAGAAGAAAATGAAGACCTTGATAAAGGTAACAGAAGCAACTGGAAGGAGGTTTATAGAGGTATCATAGATGTCAACCAGATGTTCCCCTCCCCACTCCCAAATAATCTACTGATGCTTTACTTTGCTGCTTTCCTGAGCTATGTAGAGAGTGGTCTGCCTGTTTCTGTAAATTGTATGTATGTATGTATGTATGTATGTATGTATGTATTTATTTATTTATCGTATTTATATAGCTGCCCATCTCACATAGAAGTGACTCTGGGCGGTGTACAACAATTATGCTATATCACACCAAACTTCTAATGCAGATAGATGTAACTTTGTGCCTCCAGATGTCTTGGGGGATACAACCTGTGTATCCCCCAGTCAGCATAAACAGTAGACAGAGTTATGGAAGCTCTAGTCTAAAATATCTGGAGAAAATCAGGTTGCATACCTGTGGCTCATGAATTCATAGTTCTGACTCCAGTTCTAATGATAAAGGCAGATGCCTATTTGTTAATACAATATTATACTCTGAGTCACTTGACCATTTGAATGTTTCATTTTAAATATTTATGTATTTTATTTATAGTGATCATATTTCAAATACTAATATTATTATCCTATTACTGTATGTATGTTCAACTCAGAACATCCACTGAGTTCCATAGGGCCTAATTCATGCTATATATTCTTAGGCCTGCCATCTATATATCACAAAGGTAATTAGTATGAGGATTTTTCACTCAGTCATTCACTATAGACTAACTATATTTAGCCAAACAAGCATATATTCATAGGAAAAAAACCCTAATAAGGGCTTACAAGTTTATAGTTTTGTTTTGTTTTGCTTTAGCTAAAGCAAACTCAAAGAATAGTAGCACTGTTTTATACATAGATCTCATCTATCTGAAGTTTGCTGGGCACATCTATATCTGAGATTTGGGGATAATGTGGGCAGCCATATTTTCCTTTGTATAATCTTGATGGTACATCATCAAATATCGCTGTGGAGCACTAGAGACTACTTTTAAAGTAAGTGGTAAGCCCTTCCCTGATTACCTTTTTATCTGAATGCCTGGCTCCCCTCTTGAGTTCTGGGAAGGGGAATAAGGCTGTCTTTAGCACTAGACTTTTTGAGTGACATGAAAGAGAAGATTAATGTTATTTTCTGTCATACTATTATATTTTTTAGTACCAGGAATGGAGAGAGTAAATAGTACTTACGGTACTTAGCATCTTGACTTAATGGGATACCATATATTTATTTATTTCAATTTGGGCACTGCCCAATTCCAACTGACAGTGGGCAGTTCAAAAATAATAGTATGGAAAACCACAACAAACCAAAAATAAGATTGGATCCAAGCACAATATACAGGCAGAAAACAAAAATAACAATACATTGTATAAGCACACAGTTTGGATGTACATTGAAAAGGGCCCCATAGAAGCCAATAGCACCTAAGTCCCTTTGTCTGAATTTCCTCCTATGAGGAGTAATTACAAGAATCTCTCTAAAAACAAGAAATGTATATAATGAAATCCCAATAAGGGCTATATATTTATAAATATATTTATAAAAAATATAAATATAAATATAATTATCAGTTACATATTTGTAAACACTGTGGTTCTCATATTAAAAAAAATCTATTGATTATTTAATCATACATTCATTGGTGATTTGTTGAAGTGATATGTACATTTGAAATATGAAAAACCACAACAAAACCAGATTCTCTGTGAATGTGGGCCCAATGTGGGTATATTGTATGGTTCAGGAGACTTTTGGATTTGCTTGCATGGTTGTCATCCCACAATTGTGTTTATTAGCCTATGTAATTACAGTAAATAATATTCTACTTAGGCTTCGTGAGAAGAGGATCCTTCCTCAGTTCTACTTTAGTAGAGATGGTGGTTCACTTTTAATTTTCAACACATTTGAACATACAGTCAACCTTAAGAGAAATATATTTGGGTCAAGTGTCTCAAACATAGTTCTAATGGGGAAAGAATTAAGTATCAGCCTCTGGGGTCTCTAAATGGAGAATGGTAGAAATAACAATTTTCAAGTTGTTTCCTCAAAGTTAGTTTAAAAAAGTCCCCATCTAAGTATTTATAAAGGGGAGAAATATTGAATGTGAAAACTGCTTTTTACAAGCAAATCATTAAAATTAATTGAAACCACTGAAATGTAGATCGTAGACTGTTACATGGGAATAAGTGCCATTGAACTTAAACTTAATTCTGAGTGAATGGGTGGGGGGTAAGATTGAAATCAGTGATACATTAAGAAATGGTTAACAATTATGATTAAGTATGTTACCTTTCTCTAGAACTCCCACAATTCTAAAGTTAGGGTTAATTTTTGACAAAAAATTTACTTGTGGACATATTCTTACTATTTGTGTTTTTAAATAGATAGACCATAATATTAGATTTTCTATTGACTGCCTATTAACGGCTGTTAAAAACAAAACACTTCTATCTTATACTAGCTCATTCAACCCACGGGATCTCATTTTCAGTATTTGTTTTAAACAAATGCAACAAGTCTCTTTAAGCTTACAAGCCATATCTACCAAGTCATTTGCTGCTGCTTCCCCCTGTATAAACTACAGCTGGTCATTCGTCCCAGAAAACCCAACGTGCTTTTCTTCTTCTTTTTTAAAAGATCAGGCTTACTGAAAGAATAAACCAAATTCTATTGAGACTTACCAGTTACCCTGCTTGTTCTGTCTTTCCCAGGAACAGGCTCTGTTGCTTGTGAATAGAGAGTTGTGAGTTCAGGGATCTGGGAGTAAATGTAATTTACTGCATCTAGTTATCAAAGAATGGGAAATACAGTTAAATAAGACCCCAGAGGCTTCATTGCTTAGCCAGCAGTGTCCCTACTTATTATCCCAAACAATAGACATCAGAAGCTTTGTGCCAGATAACTGAATTAAAGCAGCAAAATGCAGAATCAGTGTGCTTTGATTGCCATTCAATAGTCTAGCTGAGGCTGGAGAGAGAAAGACCTGATGACTAAGACTTTTTTAGTGGTATGTGTGTGAAATCATATCAGGAGGTTCCAGATGTCAGCAGGTCAATGACCTCTGAAAATGAAATAAATCAAACAGTAATTTCCTTTGTATAACATGGAAAAACAGTAAGGTGCTGTGTACAGTATCTCTAGCTCAAGCAAATGCTTTTATTGCTACAATGGGGGTTCTTATCCTTTCCAGGGTCATGAAAGCTAGTGTTTATTTGTTGTATTCAATGTGTAGGCTAGTGGAGGTTTGAACTATTTGTACAGCTTAAATATGTTTATTGAGTATTATTATAAATCAATATAATAAATAATTATGTCATTTGAACATTATTGAACAGAGGCACATCTGCAGGTCAAGATAACTATGGTTGAATGTTATGTTTGGAAGCAGACTGATGTT